TGGCCCGCTGTGTCGGTGTCGTTGCGGCTCGGTATTCTGCGTGTGCGGATTTGCACATAGGAGTCCACCACGATGCAGATTTGCCGCTTTCCTTTCTGGCCCGATTTCCAGTCGCTTTGATGGCTTCCGAGAGATGGAAGCAGATCTCTTGGGCGTACTCATCCACTTTCTCTGTTGTACTCAGATCTAAAGCTGGATGCACCCATTTTGCAATGGCCCGCGCAAACTTTGGTAGATTTTCCTTGGGTACTCTGATCTTTGCTGGCACTAGGCCCCTGGTCGCGGTTGCCGCAGGTACGATTCCTCGGATCGGAAGATGGTCTCTGGTCATACACTCCTCACGATCGACCCAGGCCCGAGCTCCAGAAATATTGGTCCAAGCGAGGTCCAAGGTATTGCCGGCTTTGTGAGTGGGCTCTCCAATGACAAGGCAAGAGAGATGGAAGTTTTCCGCCCACTTTTCTATCTCATCACCTTGTCCATGCGGCTTAGTAGCGCCCGGTTGCCAGGCACTGTGCACCAAGTTGAAGTCCCCAGCTGCAATCACCCTCGGGGTCGGATTCCAGTTTATCAGTGGCAGGATAGCAGTCGGGTTGTTAGGAGCTTCATACACGTTGAGGAACGTGATTTCATTGACCCTTACCCAGCAGTAATCACCAGTGGGTGTGGGACAAGGAAATAACTGCTCCGCTGATATCACATTTTTGTTCTTTCGGGTGTATGTCACAGCCCTCGGTCTGACATCTACACCTCCGTGCGGTGTATGACAGATATAACCTGGGTGTGATATGGTTTCTTTTGATCTTAAGTTCCATCGCGGTTCTTGAATCAACACAACATCTACGCCTAGCTCGTAAGCTCTAGAGAGCGCAATAATGTGGGTTGGGCCACCCCTGCCTACGTTTATTGACATAAAACTTAGTGTAGGAGGGGGGCGGGAAGGGGCCCGTAGGGCGCCCTTCACAAAGCTTCTTCAGGGTTCAAGGCCCCAAAGCCCGAACCCTGAGTCATTGCTGTGTCTATCGATAGATTGTCCTTAACAGCAGCAGGAGAAGTTGGTCTTGTCGATCTAGCGGCTGCTGTAGCCGCCTCTGCGGTCTTGGTAGCAGCTTTGGCTCGAGCGACGGCCTGGTACTCGCGTTGGCCAGCTTGTCGAATCGTCACAAGTTGCTCCCTGGTAGCTGGGCCAGACCTGTTGGGACGAGCTAGACAGTCTCGACTGCCAGATTGATGGGGGCCTCCGCAGTTTCGACTATAGTGGCCGCTTTACACTCGAATGCCGAGTGCATGGTGGATCCGCAGTTCCAGTAGGCTGGCGCGCGAGAGCACCCACGGGTGGCGTGGAAGCCGAGACATCGCCTACATTGCTGTATGGCAGGGCGGTTTCCTTGGATTGTCGCTACTCCCGAGTCGTCAAAGAGTCGGAATCCAGGCTTTGGGCTAGCATTCCTGGGAAACAAGGCCGCCCAGGATCTGTAAGAAGCGCCGAGCTTAGTATTTCCGTGTATCCTCACTCGGTCTGGAGTGCAGCTCGTTACCCGGAGGATTTCGGCGGCCACCATTTCGGCAGTGACTTCGATTCGTCCTTCTAAGCCGAAAACTGCAACTGGAACCGTTGCGATCCGGAGGGAAACTAGATCACTTGGTGGTTCTAGTTTTGCCTCCACTTGCGTAAAGGAGCTGGAGGCCTCCAGCAGTCGAGTTTTTGCATCCGGGTTTTTGGCACGGATGGCAAAGCCAGTGGGAACGCGTTGCACCTGGTCGACATCGGACGGGGTGCATTGCGTATGTTTAGCCACGGCTTCGCGAACGCCAGCCGGAGAGAGCTGTCTCCACTCGTGGTTTGCATCGAGACGCAGGAAGAGTCGGTCATCTTTCGATGCTGTTGTTGCTGCTGGCTTCTTCTCCGGTTTCCTAGCAGATGGGACAGCCGAAACCGAGGTGATGTTTGCAGGAGCCTGTGCTCCTGACTTTTGGTGTCCTGCTCTGGTGACAGTGGCCCAGGTGCTTCTGAGCGGGAGAGCTGCAGTAGCCTTTGAAATATTCCGGGGAATGGCTACAGGGACAACGGTCGCAGGCGGAGTCGCGACAGTTGGTCGGTGGGGTAGTACTGGCGGAGCAGTGCTTGGCCCGGCCGCCACGAATTGTGCGATTGCTGCCCTTAGGTAGACTTTGATCGAGTCTACAAATTTTTTATCTTCACCGGTGGAGAGCGGTAGAAGAGCTGCCTCGACACTGCTAATCGCCGTCGAGCAGATATTAAATTGCGCGGCTTTTTGCCTTGCCCTGCGCTCCTCCGCTTCCATCGCTGCAAGCAATTCTGGAGGGTTTATTTTTTCTTTGCCTGCTGCTTCTATTGCTGTAGGCGGTGGGGCCAGCGAAGAGTTTTCGGCTCCTGCTGCGTTGGTTGAAGGTACGTCGGCCCTTTTCGCGGGCCTTACTTCCTTAAATGGCGGTAGTGCTGGAACCGTAGCGCGCTTTTCGGGTGCTGCGACGGTTTCTCTTGGGGTTATTGCGGGCCCTGGGGCTTTTTCCGCGTCTTCTGGGCTGGAGGAGGCCCATCTTGAATCTGATAGAGATTTCAACTTCTGGACTTCGACGTCCAACATCTCTACCTCGGGTATATTGCGAACGTTAGCTTCGAGCGCAGCCTCGATGTAATCTAAATTTTTTTTCGGAGGCCTCCAATCCTTTCTCCGTAAGTTTTTGTCTTGCAAGAGTTAGTATAGATTTATGCAATTTGTAGGATTTGATGACGCGATCTTTGGTGATTCTGCTGATCGCGTTTTGGTGCGTTCTACGCGTCGGAGGCATTTTAAAATGCCGCCGATGGCAAACAATTACAATTCGATTCGATAGATGATGGGTGAGATGGATAATAGGGTAGGAATGGGCAACTTGGAATTTCTAGAATTGTGCGTTTGTTTGTTTGTGTTTATGTTTATTGTGCTGCTTGAGTCTATGACTTTCTAGCACATTGGGCTCCTCTCTGACCCAGGCCACACCTTGTACAGTGCTCCTATCCTCTTTTGTTACTTGAAAGATCATTGATATATTCCCCTTGATGAATAGCCATTCAGCTCAGTATTTACCCGTGAAATTCGTCCACCTTTTCCACGGAACTTTCTACCCAAAAAAAATAAAAATGGTAGCAGTGGAAACTGCGTGCGCGGGAAAAAGTCTCAAAAACCCTGCAGCCCCAGCCAGGCGAGGCCTAGACACCGGGACCACATGAGGTGCGCATATTCATCTATGTCTCCCTTCTTTGTAACAGTCGAGGCCGACTTGATCCAATCCGCCATCTCCGTATCGGGTGCTGGGTACGCTCCGGAAACTCATCGGGTGGCTTTTCCTCCGTGATCAAGGTTTGGTGATGAGTAGAGCTCCGACCCTACCATCTGATCTGATCGTGGTTAGCTTCATGATAATGGTGATAGGGGAATGTGTTGAGTGATGAAGACGATACAGACGGCGAAAGCGATTGGGAATCCTCGTCGAAGTGAGGACTTTGTTACTCAATCTCGGCTCTGCAAACTCTACAGTAAGAGCTGGAGGTTCGTAGGGGACACCGCTGACAGGTGTTGAGAATAGTCCCCCACTTTCTAGTGTCGTATCCTAGCTGGAATAATATCTGTAACTTACACATCAATTAACTTATATTACATTCTTTATACGTCCTTTAAGACTAATCTATACCTCCGAATCTACTAGTCAGGGGGGCATCTGAAATACATGAGCTACTCGACGACCCCACGTCCGTAACGACTTTTGGATGCTAGGCTAGGCTCCTTCACGACTGTCACTCTCGACCAAGACTTTTCTTACATCCTTTCACGACCTACGATTTGTCCTGCGGCATGAATCAGGGGAGGAGGTTAGGAAGGTTGAGAGACACTCTTAGGTATACCCAGGTCTGCTGCGCCCGGCTGACCGGCCTTTTCGTCACAGGAGAGCCCCGCACCCAGTGACTTTTGAGACTTTTCCCTACAGCTACACACCCGCAAATGGCCATCGTTTCGTTGGCTCGAGTGGTGAGATAATGACGGGATAACGGCTCCTCTTAGTGTATACTCGAATGAAGACCTGTGTGGGTATTACTGCTGGAAAGAAGTGGTGAGGGAGGCAAAGGAGGGAGTACACTACCCGAGGCATAGATACTCCCGGCCTGTAGGCACAAAGGACCTACATGTCCTTACATAGTCAAATACTTTTTAGGACAATAAACAATCACTCACTCACAGAGTCGAAGTCGCTTCCCACTACTACCTGACTACTCAGCTTCTAGCTTAGCAATGGTTCCAAAGTCCCGCTGTGGCCTGGAGCGCGATATTCAATTACAAATGTCAGTCCACCAACCTGAACGAAACAGTAGTCTGAGGTCTGGCTTGTTGTCGAGGGTGTTTTTCGAGTAGCCTGGATTCCTTTCCTCACAAAAGTGATGGCGCGCGGTCGCGGTCGCGGTGCTATATTTCCAAATGGTACAAAACTATCAAAGCTGGGGTGGCTTAAAGTAGTGAACTCTCCATCTTTAAGCAAGGTCCATGGTTCTTGAAGGGTCATCGATGATAGTGTTACGGGCTTAAGGGTACCAGGACAGGTTTCCTGAACAAGGTCTGGAGACCAGTAAGCTATTGTCAATCTTAGATAACACTAAAATTACCCCTGGAAAATATCTTTGCGCTGTGAACCCTTAACTACACCGTTGAGACATCTTTTAGATATCATTGCCTCAAATAATTAGGGTAGACTTCATTAACTTCGTTCGATTGTTTAGATCACGACTTATTCCGTGATAGATAGGTTATATCAGTGAAACAGTATATGGTTAAGACTGTTGATTTACGACTGTCCTGTGCTTCACTGTCGGCGATACTAGATGCGCGATAGAAAGCTATACAGACTTGGCGTTTTTCCTCTCCCTTCTAAACTCCTGCCTCGTGCTCTATTTGTACCTACTACTCATTCCTGTTCGATACCCTTCACATAATGGCGCTCGATCCTTAGTTTATGTTCGCGCCGCCTCTGCCACTGGCTACCACTACATCTATTCCCATGTGTATCTCACTCTCTACAATATCACGCTCATGCTTACTCCTGTTGTCGCTAGTTAATGCCCGGACCTTATCAATCAACGTGGCGTTAGGCGCACGAACGTTCCATGACTTCGGTGCCTTGAACCTTAGGTATTCAGTCCCTCTGGGTTGGATGGTGCAGTGGTACACCATTCGGGCCATTCTACCAAGTGGATACTAGGTAGCTTGAACACCTACCCCATTTAAGATAAGACAAAGCTGGTTCGAATCCAGTAGAACCCACACACCACACTCTCTCTCGCGATGATATTGTATTTGTGGGATGATGAAAGCACACTCGGACAACCATAGGGTTTTCACGCTTTTCTCTGTGATGGGTATGCACGGAAGAGGTTATACGCCGTAATGGTTAACCTCAAGTGGTGTCTGCTGTAAAAGGTCCAAGGAATTCGGAAGTACTCGAAAGTCGTTGACTCAATAGGAATTAATTATTTTTCCTTGGGAAGCTAAACTACTGTATCGTATCCTGCCTTTTATGTCTTCCGCGTACGCTAGTGTTAACTCCCCCCTTTGGCCATATGAGAATACTCCTTTCTCCCGGCTATCTTCCTTAGCTCCCTGAGAATCATCCTTTCTCCCGGCTATCTTCCTTAGCTCCCTGAGAATCATCCTTTCTCCCGGCTATCTTCCTTAGCTCCCTGAGAATCATCCTTTCTCCCGGCTATCTTCCTTAGCTCCCTGAGAATCATCCTTTCTCCCGGCTATCTTCCTTAGCTCCCTGAGAATCATCCTTTCTCCTGGCTACCCTCCTTAGCACTATGAGAATCATCCTTTCTCCCGGCTATCTTCCTTAGCTCCCCTTTAGTCTATCCAGGGGCGTTGCTCTGCCACTACCTTACCTTAGAGACGGAGTGGTCCTAGTGACCAGTCCCAGTCCGGGCAAAGCCCGTCACATCTGCAAATGAAATTTGAGTATGAGTGTTCTAACCGTCAAATTGAGTCATACTACTTAAGGTACATATCTTCCGAAAAAAACCTGCATGGGCCTCAAGATGCCAAATCAAGATAATGAATAAATTATTTATTCATTTATATGTATGGAAGGAAGGAGTTTGGGAGATATAAATTATGTAAATAAAATGTCATAGCTAGATAGCTGAATACGCTATGAAAAAAAGAGATTCTTCTGCACTCTAGAATATACTTTCAATGTGATAAACTACAAAACCAGGTCTAGCATACATCGTAATGGTATGAACTCAGGCGTTAATGATAGTGATAGATGTCTAAATATTTGATTGTATATGATTTGCTCGACCACTTGTACCTTGAAAGTGAAGCAGCTAGATTTCATCCCTCTAGAACTAGACTCGTAAAAATATCCACATGCCCAGTAAAAGTTAACTTTCCTCAGTCGTGGGTTTGGGCTCTTAAACAGCCCTCTAGAGTCCAGCTATTATCTTCCAATATTATTAGGAGCTAGTAATGATTGTATTAATAATGATAGTCAGTGAGCTAATCACGTTCCTACATGATGATATTGTGCCGGCTCTGCTAAGAGCTATCGTTTTTTATCTTCTTCATCACTAGGCTACTCTAAAGTCTTTCGTCTTTTAGGGCTTGGTAAGTCCCATATTTGACCACTAGGAAAAAGTGGGAATGCTTCGTCAAGTAAGCATTCTAGAGTAATAATTTTCTTTTCCCGCGTTGGTGTCAACTTCTGCTGTTTACTCGACTTTTGAATTATTTTTCGGGTGGCGAATGTTTTTAGGTTTATATTGTGCATGATGACTATACCACGGACTTCATTTTGATTATTTAATATAATTTGGTATCTTTTATTTTCTCCTTTGAAAGATATTAAACAATTTTCGTTGCTGACAGGTTTAAAGAACTTGCCTTTACCGTCCACATTCATTTTTTTGCTCAAAAAGGGTTTCTTCCATGGACCATCAACCCTACTAGATGTGTCCTCCACTTCATCAAACGAATGTAATGATTGGTACAGTTGATCTCTGGCGTGTTTTTGAATCTCTGTTATCTCCCATGATAATGATCCGCATTTAACTAAAGGTTCTATAAGAACTTGGCCTATCCCAGAGGTTGTACTTGTCGAAACTTCGGGTACATTTATACATGGCTTAAATTGATCTAGGGTATAGTCATAATAAAGCAGGTCTTTCAGTTCGCAGCTATTATCAAAAGTAATTTTGTCTGCATATCTTCTTTTTTTGCCTACGAATAAACTTAGTAAATCTGAACTGTTGAGAAGTTCTGGGTCAGTTTGAGGAGGATTTTTCAAATTCACCTCTAGGATCTAAAGTTACAACTGAAGGAAAAGACCATTCAAATATCATATTTTCGACTTTAATGTCGCCAAAATGAAGGACAGGTCGTCTCGCATTAGATCTTGCTGCCGTGAACCCTCTACAAGCTATCAGGCGAGTCGTTTCAACTTCACTGTGTGGATATATTTTATATCCACAATGATATCCAGGCTCAGATGTTACTTTTATTCTATTTGTCATTGACGAGGCAGGGGCTGAGAGAAGAAGTATGGTGAACATAGCTTTTAGCCATGTATATTGGTCTCGGACGGCACGATGGGGATATCTCATATTCAATGATTTTTGGCAGTACTTTGTAATGATAGAAATGGTAGTTTTCAAAAGATGGAGGGTAGGGTTCATTTCAAATAGAACATAGTCGGTGTCACCCATATGCTAAGCCCTTCCTGCCATTCTTAGACAAAAGATTGCTCTACTCTTAAAAATTTGAAAAGCCCGTGAATTCTGCGCTCACGGATTTCGGAAATTTGCCGTTAGACCTGCTACTTGAAATGCGAATCGAAGGCCAAGCTCTTGGCGGAATTATGTTGTGTCAGTGTTCTCATGGTGGGAATCCCAGAGTACTATCGGTTAGGATCCATCATTAAATTGCATACTTGTCTTTTGATTCAAGGTTAACAGTGTTGATATTATGTAGCCTTTAACGACCAAATTATAATTGATCTAGACTTTATCTTGGTTTGTTGCTTGCTTGCTTTGTTGTTTATTATGCTATTTGGGTCAAGAAATATCTAGTACGTTGAACACTTCTATGACCCAGTCGACACCTGGTACAAAGCTCATATCCTCTTTTGTTACGAAAATAATAACGTTGTGTGGTAATCGTACGGAGCTGAGGAATAGCTAGAGTAAATAATTTGGCAATTTAGAATGCAGGGAAAATCTTTCCGTATGATCATGAGCCATGAAGATTTTACAGAGTTATCCTTGGACAGGAGAAAAATTCCATGTAAGTGACCTGATAAATCTGTCCGACTCAAAAAGCTATGTAAGGTGTAAGCCATAGACACGCATCTTAACAAAGAAGGATATGTCATTCAGCACATCACTAGTTATTTGACGCAACTGGCTAAAGCATATTTGCAAGCCCCTGCGCTGGCAACTGGATGACGTGCCTAGAACTTTACATCCCAAGCATGGGTCAACGGCCTTGTACACAGCACAAATTTATGAACATGGCCAGTATAACTGTAGAGAACTACCACAATCTGGAATAGTTAAAAGAGAAATTGGCCCATTTGGCCAAAAAGCACGGCGTCAAATTTGCGCCGTAGAAATATCATCTGATGTATTTCTTGAAGGACCGCAAACACCGCAATTTGAACGCTATTATCCTAATACTGAGCGACGTGATCTAACCGATGCAAAGGGGGATGCATCATACCGGGTTATGCGACAACTAATCTATCAAACTGATAGTAGCAACTCTACATACAGCCGGCAATTACGAATTCTATTATATTCAAACAATCGCATACTAGAAGGTCCAATTTCTTTCAAGTTTGCTGAGCAGCGGAGACATAAGTCCGAGTAAAATTAACATCAAGTGGCTATCCTGGCTTATACCTGCTGTCAGGAAATGCTGTTTAGTCAGCTAGTTGGTCAAGTGAAAGGTGTCTACATATTAGTACACAACACCTTTATCACTACACACCCTTAATACCACATCCATAAATCTCTCACATATCGCATATTACCATCTGCATTATCTTACTCTCGTGACTATACTTTCTCAATATTCCAACAGGTTATGAGCCCGGTGTTTAGTTATTCATCGAATTCCGTTTTCGAACAATCCACAGCAATGTCTTCATTTACTACAGAAATAAAAGACACCCGCAAACATGACGGTCTTCCACAGTACAAATCTAATTGGGGGAACACTGTGATTCTAAGCCTCGGAACATTCACAGAGTGGCGGATTAATTGCGAGATCGCTTTAATAAACGCAGGCGTTTTAAGTATCGCTGATGGCACTTGGAAGAAACCTATTGCTAATTATTACACACATGCTTTCCGTCCTAATACACGATCAGTCTCTTCCAGTGCAGCACACAATGAAATTGATGCCGATGACAATGACAATGAATTTCGAGTACAGGAACAGAAATGGTTGTCCAAAGCCCGCGACACGCAGATAATCATATCCAACTCCATCGAAACCCATCTGATGGAGCAGTCGCTCGGATTTCTGAGGAACATTGATCCCGCCGGGTTATGGAACTTCCTCCTCCAAATGGACCCAAACAGAGATCCAAAAACCATTGCAGAATTGAGATCCAATGTCGCCTCCATGAAGCTTGATCCGAGAACAGACACAATCCAATCTCTTGTTCTACGCCTCAATAATTTCAGAGTCAAGCTATCAATGACCTCTAGACCGATCACCGAGGAAGATGTCAAGGAGCAGCTAATTGCATCTCTTCCTAAGGATAACTCGATTTGGTCTACGGCTCGATCACACGCTCTAAACATGGGTAGAAGTCTCGCAGAAACAATTATATATCTTCAATCTTTCGAGTCTAACATTTCTTATACACAGTCCCCTCAACCACAATCTGCAAATGTAGCACGTAGCAATTATAGAAAAAGATGACGTGGTACATATCGAAGGGGACGCAATACAGCGCACTTTGATCGTCGTGATCAAGCTCGCGGAGAGCTTAACTGAAAAGGAAAGCAAAGAGGAATGGCAACGGACGAAAAGGAGTGTTTCTTTTGTGTTAGAAAAGGTCATGTAGAACGCGATTGTAGCCTCAAGCAGTCCCAAAGTAGAGTAGCCAAGGAAAAGAATAAAGCTAGGGGAGATGCCGACGCTCGTTATGTTCAAGTTAGAAATATTAATGCAAATGATTCACCCTACCTGTCTTATTATCTTGAACACAGTCACACAGCTTGCTCAGAGCAAAATAGTGATAAAAGTCTGACCCTACTCAAAATAAAATCAAGTAAAAGTAGAGTCCGACAACATTAAAACAATTTCCAAAAATATACAGGGCTTGATCACCAGCGGAATTCATAAAATTCTAAAATTTATACGGCTTCTGGATTCTAATGCAACAGCTTTCCCAACTGTCACAAAACATGCATTACTTTCCAAGCCCAGAGAAGTTCTCACAATAATCGACTCTGGAGCGTCAGAACATTTCAGTGGTATGAGAGATGATTTCTCTACGCTCAAAAGATGGAGCGGTCCAAAGTCTGTCCAAATTGGAGATGAAAAAGTTATTCAATGCGAAGGCTATGGCAATATATCTTTTAGGACTAGTGATAAAATAATTGAACTAAGAGAAGTCTGGTTCATTCCTGAGTTTGGTCAAATGCGGCTTCTGTCCGTCTGGGCCTTCAATAAGAGGGGCATTGATGTAAAGTTTGCTGATGGCCATTGTCAAATAACACCAAACGGCTCAATCTTGTTTGAAGCAGAAGGAGAGGATGGTGTCTTCAAAGTTAAAACAAAATCAATACCTCAAGCAACATCAGCCACAGAAGTTCAGCAACAAATGCCACACCAAACAGAGACTGAATGGGACATTTTGCATAGAAGAATGGGCCATATTAACATCAAAGATATTGACAAGGTTCTGAAAACAGGACACACTGGACTAAAAGTTCCTAACAAGAAAAGATCAATTCCGATTGGATCAAAATCTTGCGAAGCATGTTTAGCAGGAAAGATGAAGGAAAATTTTAATAAGAAATCTGACAATCGTTCAAGAGCCATCCTTCGTCGAGTTCACTGCGATATCTCAGGAATACAGTCCATCTCAGTTAGAGGATATCGGCTCTACTTCCTCATGGTAGATGAGGCAACAAGGATGTGCTGGGTCAGGTTACTAAGAACGTAGGAAATGAATGAGGTTCTAGTCACATTCAAGCAAATAAAGGCCGAAGCTGAATTGCAATCTGGCAATAAAATTGTCTACATGAAGACGGACAACGGTAGGAGTGAATTTGGTACTGCCCTTCAACACTACTTGAAAGAAGTAGGTATAAAATTTGAACCATGCCCACCATACAAACACTCAATAAACGGAGTTGTTGAAAGATGGATGGGTATTATAGCAGTGATAGCAAGGTCTATGTTATATGAGGCACAGCTACCTCGCCAGCTCTGGGATTACGCTGTCGAGCATGCGGCTTGGATTAAGAACAGGGCTCCCACATCCGCGCTACCTTTTGCTGATAATGACGCTCCAGAAAAATTCACACCCTACAGCGTTTATCATGGAAAGCCTGCAGATCTAACCAACATCAGAGTTTTCGGGTGCAAAGCAGATATGCTTTACCCTTTCGAGTTAATTCCTCAGAAATGGCAACCTCACATTAGAGAAGGAAAATTCATCATGATAGGAATGACTTAGACGAAAATTTGGAAGCTACTTGATACGCTTACCCTAAGAGACACAATCTCTGCAGATGTTAAGCTTAATGAATATGAATTCCCTAAAATTGACATCTCACTCTTTACTCTACCTGATAGACCAGATGTGCTAACACCTAGACAAGTACCTTTAGAGCGAACAAAGATGTACCAGCCGCAGCTGATATTAGCTAGGCAGAAAGGTGTTAAGCAAGCGCGTAAGAAGTACGCTGCCATTCGCCCAATTGAGGCAATGAGTTCGGGCGAAAATGACTCTGAATTGCAAAATCCTGTAACTCGCCTGCGAGAGGCTGGAGATGCGTCTGATCAACGCTATATACAGAAGGCACCCATTAGAATGGACGAGCAAGAGACCTACATAGGTTCGGTAGAGCTACAGACACCCGTAACAAGACGTGAAGAAAGCTGCCACGAGAACGCGTGGAGGAAGCTCTCACGCGAACCCATGGTCGAGGACAGTCATCCTACTGTAGTAGTGGAAGAGGTCACCATGAGGGCAGTAGCGCAAGAATATCTAGGAGGGCGAATGAACTTCAAAGAAAGTACTCCTCAGATTATCCGAGAAGCCATCGAACCATCGATTGGGCAGGCTCCTTGCTCCCCGCCAAAATCAAGATTTGGCAGACCGCTGAGAAGAGTGGCGAAGGCTGTGTTCAATCATGTCGTTACAGCAAATGCTATTTCTGCACAAGCAGTCCATATTAATGCCGGTGAGTCGTCATCGATTGAAGTTCCCACTCCTGCATTTGAATCTATCACTGTTGAACAGGCCATGCATGAAGATCCCAAATTATGGAAAAAGGCAATAAAATCAGAATTGCGCTCTCTGCAAGCC